GGACTCGAAGAGGCGAGATGTCTTCTCTGACACATAGGTCTACTGCTGGCGATGCACCGCAAGGCTGTTTTTAAGGCACAGGGTGGATCCTTTGAGCCACCAAACGTCCAACCAGAAGCGCTGCTGGCCGTGATATTAGAATCTTCCAATGGAGACAAGCCGCTGCGCATGGTTGCATCAAAGACGAGTGACGTTCCCACGCATTGCGTAAGATTCGCCAGACTCGAAGGCGCCGATTGCTTCAAAGGGCTCGTGGGCTGAGGGAGCTCGCTGTGCGTTGCGTGACAGACCGGCACCGCCGCTTGATGACGTCGTTGAGTCGACTGCGTCAGGCGGGAACGAGCGCTGGCCTTGACACAGATTTCTTTTGCAGAGGCATTGGCGTTCAGTGTGGACTGAACACCAATGCACCGGAAAGACGAGCTGCTTCCACGTGGCTCGGATGTAGGGCGCGCTCGTTCACCAGATCCCTCCAGGTTTGCCTCCAGGTCCATGGGGAGAATGCAGCTCCAGACTCCGTCTCGTGAACGCATCCCATTTTTGAGCACAGATCCCAGCTCCACTGGCTTGTCACCACAACTTGCCGGCCAGCTTCGCTCGACTCTTCTGACGATTTTTGGTCTCAGCACTTGTCGATGGTTCTGCAACTTGTCAAGAACGGTTCGACAACAGACAACACGCGACACAAGCAAGTGCCCTCGGTCACCCGACAGAACACCAGACAAAGTATATTACAACATATACCTAGCTACGTGTCTATCGGAATTTCGTTCCCTCTACATCAAGAGGCACATGTGGGACACAAGACTCTTAAAATGAGAATTTCAATTTTTTACACGTACAACAAGGTAACGAAATAGAATAGAGCACAAAGTTGGCTCCTTGAGCTCATTCTGGACGAGAGCGCTCAGCTAAGGCCGTGATGAGGACAAAATTTTGCCCCGAATCTCCAGCGAGAAACCAAAAGGTGGAAAAGGTACTAACTAAAACGCGTGGCTCAATGCATTTGCATTAGCGTTTAGCTTTCCTTTTTTGTAGCAAACGTCATAGTTGTGTTTGTTGTAGTATCATGCTGCACCTCAGTAACCGGCCACTGTTAGGCGACATGTTATTTAACCAGGTTAGAGGACAGTGGTCCGTTTCGACCACAAACCTCGAACCAGAGTCATAACAGGCTAGCTTTTGAACGGCCCACACGAGGCAAGCAAATTCCTTTTTAGGGGTACTGTATGCCTCTTCCCTGCCGCTGAGATTTCGACTTAAATACAAAACTGGCCTTTCGTTACCAGCACTGTCTTCCTGGCACAATATTTATTTATTTATTTATTTATTTGTACAATACTGCGAACCTTGAGAGGTCCAAGCAGGAGAGGGATGTACACATCCAGAAGACATGCGTACGGATGCAAGATCGACACATGAATGTGAGGGTACATAATCAACAGGTAAGTATACAATCATTATACATTGGATGACAGCAAGGGTGAACACTCTGGCAAAACATTCCAATCGGAAACAGTTCTGGGAAAAAATGAATATTTGTATTGGTCTGTACGGGCAAAGAACGGTGTAATACTTCGGCTATGTTTGTGACGAGACGCTCGACTAGGGTTATTAGCTATGTAATCTTGTGACTGGATTCCCAATTTATTAAAATATAGCTGGTGTAGAAAGTTTAGACGCGCACTTTTACGTCGGTTGGCCAATGGCTCTAGGTGTGCGAGCTCCAACATAGCTGAAGGGGAATCGCGACGTCTAAAACGTTTATAAATAAAACGAGCTGCCAATCTCTGAATTTTTTCAAGCTTTTCTTTATAATTGATAGTATGGGGGTCCCATACAATGCTTCCGTATTCAAGGAAGCTTCCATGCCACGATCACTCGCGTCACATTGAATCACAAATCTTTTAGAGAAATCGGGTGCCATGAGAACGGGCTTTTCGTTTATAGGGCCTGTTTCAGCTGGCAAAACGCGTTCTCCTTTTTTGAGTCCCATACTACTTTAACAGGCTCGGACTTTCGAAGTGCGTCAGTTAGAAGGCTGGCAATGCTAGAGTAGTTTTGCACGTAATGCTGATAGTATCCAGCCAGGCCCAAGAATGCCCTCATCTCAGATTTTGTCGTTGGTCGTGGACAGTTCACGACGGCGGTTACCTTAATTTCTGAAGGTCTACGCTGGCCACGCCCCACATCGTGTCCCAGGTAAGACCCCTTGCCGCACCCTGTGACATTTAGTAGGTTTCACGGTAAGACCAGGCTCTTTCAACCTGTTCAGCATGACGCATAAATGCTCGACATGTTCTTCCCAGTTGTTTGAGAAGATGGCGACATCGTCAAGATACGGCAGAGCGAACTCAGAGAGGCCTTCAAGAACGCGGTCCATTAAGCTTGAAAAACAAAAGGACGCATTTTTCAATCTAAAGCTCAGCTTAAGGGGACGATATGTTCCAAATGAAGAAACGAATGTGACATAGCGGCTAGCACGCTCTGTAAGGGGGACTTGCCAATACCCTCGCACTGGATCTAACGTGGAAATATAGCTGGACTGTGACACAGTTTCTACCCTCTCCTCTAGGTTTGGTATCGGGTAAGTTAGGTATCGAGTTATGGCGTTAAGACGCCGATAATCGATGCATGGCCTCGGATCTTTTACCGACACTTGAACCAATATTAGAGGGGATGTATAGTCACTCTCGCCCGATACTATGACTCCCAACTCCAGCATTTTAACGATCTCCTCTTTCATGATCTGCTTTTGCACAGGGGAACAACGATACTGTTTGCTAGAATTGGTTCCTCACAAGTTAGCTCGATATCGTGTTCGATCACCATTGTGTTTCTGGGATGGTCCGAAAACACGTCTTCATACTCGGAAACAATCATTCTCAGGTTGTCATTCTGGACTTTACTTAAACCTAGGCTTTAGGTTCAACTGCTCCAAGATTACATCCGATCCCCCTTCGATTACATCACTAGAACTCAAAATTTCTTCTCCCTCTTCTTCTGAAGCATTCAACAGCAGATTGACGACTGCTTGACATTGAACGTATGGTTTCATCAAGTTACTGTGGTAAATTTTGTTCGGCCGCCTTTTTAATTTCACTTCATAATTGGTATCAGAAAGCTTCGATATTACTTTGGCGGGCCCTTCCCAATGAACCTCAAGCTTGTTCTATTTGGACGGCCGCAGCAGCATTACCTGACTACCTACTTCAAAGGAGCGCTTCTTCGCCGATTTGTCGTAGTACTCCTTCGACAACACTTGTGCAGCCTTCATGCGGCTTTCCACAAGATCTTTCGTTTTTCCAAGCCTCTGAAGGAGGTCTAGAACATACGCAACTACATTAGGGTCCTCATCGAATCCCTCCCAGGACTCGCGTAGCATTCGCAATGGTGTTCTCAAACTCCTGCCATACACAAGCTCTGCAGGGCTTAAACCACTGCTCTCATGAGGAGCTGATGTCAAAGCGAACATAGCGGGAGGAATACACGCTTCCCAGTCGCATTTGGGCTCGTAGCAAAGAGCTCTCTGATTCGTTTTAAAACAGAATGCATACGCTATACCGGATTAGATTGTGGGCGATGGATCGAGCTGTGCACAACTTTTATTCCACATTTATTCAATAAGGTCGAGGTAAGGCAGCTGGTGAAGACACTACCACTGTCGCATTGGTTTTAGAAGGAAATCCGACGCGTGCAAATACAGATAGCAGTGCCTCCACGACATGAGGGGAATTGAGCTCCTCAAGTGGTATCGCTTCCGGAAATTTTGTGGCTACACAGAGGGCCGTCAGAATGTACCGACAACCTTTCCTTGACTCTGGCAAAGGCCCGACGATATCAATTACTAGTCGCCGAAAAGGTTCTGTGATATTTGGCACAAGCTTCATGGGTGCCTTCCACTTGTCCGTGGATTTCTAAGCTCTCTGACAAGTGTCGCATGAATGAGCGTACAAAGTCTTTGATATCCTTCCAGCATTTCGGCCAATAAAGCTCAAGGGAAAATTATGCGAGATCGGGTAATCGCCTTGAAGGGGGAGGGGTTGCCATCTTGCCGTTCTATATCAGCAACAAATGGTTGTTTTTCTCGCCGCGAGATGACGCGAAAAGAGACTGTGGTTGCCAGCGCTTCCGCTTGAACGCGCTGCCAGCAGCCGCCGAAGTGCGCAGGCCACGAATCGCCATGTCTTCTTTCATGAAATTCGAGACTGCATATATATTTAGCGTCATTTCATGACGTGTCGCTCAATACAAAAATTGCAACACAGTCACCTTCCCTCCGCATGCTTCGCATAACGTCGATTCGGTACATGGTATCTGCCAAATTTTATCGCAAGCACCGTACATGAAGGATTTCCGTTTACGGTCGGGTACGGTGGAAAAAAAAAGCTTGACAAAGGTAGGCTGATGAGTCCATCGCGCTAAAAACAAATCAAAACAAACGGAAACGAAACGCTTACGCATATATTCATATCATATTCATGGTTGCTCAATCACACACGATCTTTTCCAGCATCTGTCTTTTGAAGTTTCTCCTGAAAATGCCCCACAGAAGAGGACTCGCGTTCTGTGAAGCAAAACGTAGGCAGAAAGGGCGAAACGTGCCAGATTACGTGTTGCATGAGGTGTATAGGTGGACGTGTAAGGGCGCGCCATGCGCACAGAACACTGAGACGTCAGGTGAACATGACACGTGCAGCTCACAGCGTTTAGTCCTCGTTATGCCTCTTCTCTTTCACTTGGCCAATTTTCGTTTTTCTTTCTTTTTGTTGGCACATGATTTGCGCTGCGATGGCTGCTTCCACCCCAGGACGCCGGCTGCACCGGATACAAGGAAGCTGAGTCAAGTGACGAAGTGCAGCTGTGGGTTAGCCTCCACCTGCGCGTGTGGGGCTGCCTGGCCTTCGCGGACTAATTAATCCTCCACTTCGGTTTTTGCTCTTTTTTACGCTCACTGCGGCGAAATAACCGCGCACCCTGCGCGATGGATAGATTAAAGAGCAGCGTCCCGTTACCATTACCGACACCCCCCTCTGTGTATCGGCTCCTTTTTGACCGCCAGCTGAGCCGACTGGTTGCCTGGACAGCTTCAACAAATATGAGCCGTCTGTTGACAAGGCCGTCGTATTCGACGGCGATTTCCTTGGTCTTTGCACTCATTCTGCTCGCCACATGTAAGTAACTGTGCGAGGAGTTTTCAACGATTCCTGGAAAACTTGTTGATCTGAGATGGTTTACGAGGTTTACCAGGCAACACGGGTTACGAGAGAGGCCGCACTAATGGGAATCGCTTAATTTTAAGCACCTGGTGATTCTATTGTAGTTTTTTTTTCTACTCGTTGGCGTGCACTAACATCGCACGGTACACAGGCTTGTACAATATCGCAGGTATACAAACCGCGTCTTTCATGTCAGCAGGCGCACATAGTAACTCCTGATCCTCCGCGGCGTCTGGTAATTGCTTCCCAATTGTTTGCAGTGAGTATAATTTACGCTTATGTGATGGGAAGGAGATGTAAGTTCACTTTTCAGCACTTTCTCTATTGCAGGCTATCAAACCAGACCAGCGCCTGCTTAACGTTCAGGCTTTCTTCTTTCTCCCTCTCAGCAGTGTTAGGAATTGGAAAAAATGTTTAAGGATTTTGATTACTTGGTGCTTAACTATGGGAGAGCAGTAAGCCGTCCCTAAATAAAAGAATGACAGCATATCCACGGAGTGAATGATGGAGAGTGAGGCGAAGCATGCGTCCGTCCCTTCGTTCTTGCTTCCGTCCGTCCATGCGTCCGTCTGTGTGACCGTCCATGCGTCCATTCGCCCGACCGTGCGTGCGTCTGTTCGTGCGTCCGTCCCTGCGTTCGTCCATGCATCTGCCCCTGCGTCCGTTCATGCGTCCATCCGTGCATCTGTCTGTGTGTCCGTTCGTCCATCTATTCAACACTCCAAGTACCACCATCTCGCAACTTTTCATCATATATTCCCCATATAGAAGCACCGCCATCCAGCGGACATTCCAAGGACTAAACGAGAGGTGGCACACGCAAACTTTCTTACGGCTTGCGCTTCGGGTCTACTTCCCACCTTTAACCACCTCGAATTCATGGTATATACTAGTTCACTGTATTCATGGCACTGCGGCCCAACGCTTGCTAAACCTTTCTAAAACCAAGGAGGTTATGCCCAGCGAGTGTAACGTAGCAACCCTTTCTTGTCAGATAGTGCTCACTGTACATGCCAATGGCTGCTAAGGGGGAAGGAGAGACAGGAGAATTCGGCTTTTAGTTAACGCGCACGCTGCAAATTTTTTATTCTTCAACAACGCACAGAAGAAATCTCTCACTGGCACCACCTTGGAGGTCAAAATGTAAGACTGGTTACACACTACGACTATTACTACGACTACGAGGGACGAACAGATGCCACTATAAGGAGCTTCGCCCCTAAAACATGCCCTTGTGTTTGTACTTGTACCCTGGCCTAAGAAAGTACTTCATATCCTACTATGAAAGAGCAGTATATGCAAAGCGTTAGATTTGGCCTTAGTGGTTTATGTTGGTTAGGATTTCTAGAGCCTGTAGATATGTTGCGGGGAAGGTGAACAGTTTCAGCTTGGTGCCGCCACTCAAGCTAGTCGTTAACAATACCAACACCCGTTACCTCGTCTCAAACATGTCACTTAAAAATGAGCTTTCTTTGTTATCGCACTTTTATTTTATCGATATTTTTTGCAAGAATTGGTGCTTTTACGTCCCAAAAACCACGATATTGTTACGAGGAACGTCGCAGTGCGGGGCTCCGGAAATTTAGACTGTATGGCGGTTAAAAAGTGCACGGCCATAGCACACTACATGGCCCTGCAGCATTTCGTCGTCATCGAAATGCGACAGCAGTGGCCAGAATCGAACACACGACCTTCCAGTCCGCATCTGAGTATACAGTAACCATTGCACCACCACGCCACACAGGTGGCAGATGATTTATTGAACGTATAGTTGTGCTGATGTTAAAGTGACACATCAACCTTCCTCATTCGTGCTTTGCATGGGTTCGATTCCCACAGTACGTGCGATCTGCCAATTTCTCGAAAGAGTTCGTTAATTTACATTAATAATACGCTAGCAATTGATGAAGTAGACCACTGCTACTCGTAGTCCCCGACGATATTCCTTAGTCTTAAGTCTCATTGACACTATAGTGCGAAAGATCCTCGGCATGAATTTCGCACAATACCACCTTTTAAAGGTTAACATAGTTGACAGATATCTAGTCTGACTGGGTAAGAAATTATACGAATAAACAGACTATCCAGGCACCGTTAGTCTATAGTTTTCAATATTAAAAGCTGATCCTACGCTTCGAGACAACTTCGGTCTCTTCTACAAAGGGGAGGGGGGGGACTGTCTGGCCGGCTCTAATTGATTGATATTTGGGGTTTAACGTCACAAAGCTACCATATGATTATGAGAGACGCCGTAGTGGAGGGCTCCGGAAATTTCGACCACCTTGGGTTTTTTAACGTGCACTCAAATCTGAGCACACGGGCCTACAACAATTCCGCCTCCATCGGAAATGCAGCCGCCACAGCCGGGATTCGATCCCGCGACCTGCGGGACAGCAACCGAGTACCTTAGCCACTAGACTACTGTGGCGGGGCTGGCGGGCTCCGAAGCTAGCGACTTTTATTAGTGGCTGTGTTCCTCTCGACTGTTGTTCTTTCATTAGTTCTTGTTACTGTGCAGTAACAAGAACGATGGTGTACAGGGACAGTTTGAATGTAATAGATTAAACATGGCTGCAGGGTCTGTTTATTCGTATAATTACCCTTCTACACACCGCGATTGCTGGGCTGCTGTGAGAACTGCCCCAAAGGACCTTCCCAGCAAACAATCTCGTAGTGCGCATAAAAAAAAGAGTGTGCGGCATATTCACAAATTCACGACAGGGTCCACAAAGCTTACTTCTCGTCCGATTCAAGAACGTTTTCCAACAGTGCGCTTCTGTATATAGTTACACTGACCCCTGATGCTGCTTCGTATCGCCTCTTATCTAAGGAAATTCATTTCAAACTCATTTTGTTTTTTACGAGCGGCAGCTGTGGTGACACATGCGGCTGCCTTTGTACCAAAAAGTGGACGACTTTCGGCGGGAAACAAAACGGCACGGGGCTACATCCGACTACGCATACGCAGCCGCCGTCAGTATTGATCGTGTTGGAGGTGCCTTTGACACGTGTTGAATATTTATAGCACAGGCGGACGACTCGACACTGTGGGCAACGCATCCTTTATTAAAACTTGGGGAATGGCGAGCACAGCTTTCTATCACCTGTTGTTAGTGTGTGTGTCGTGTCCCGTTCGGTTTTTTTTTTTTTTGACGCGTGCCTTGTTGTCACAGTTACCGAAATGTTCCCCAATGTTCAGTTTCAGTTTATCATTCATTCCAAATACAATAAATTCCTAGATCGAGAAACCCGGTGGTGTGTACAAAAAAAAAATCTGCCTGTACATACGCGCTGGTTGCCGAATTGCTTTCCTGGAATTCGGCAGGCCCTGGTATGCCCGCTAAAGAACCCCACATGTTCTGAATTTGCGGGAGCCTTCCACTGTGGCAGCTGCTATAGGCTGATTCGCGTAGATACGTAGGGCTTTCATCATTACAAACGCAAAGTTTGTACTCCGAGGCAAATGACGCAAATTTCTTCCTCTAGAGTGGGCCCTGGAGCTTCCCCTTAGGAAATAGTGAGCATTATTGTCCCCAGTGATCACCCATGGGCTTGGAGTTGCTGTCATAATACCGCGTAAGCGTTCGCAGTCGAGGCGGCTTGATGGAGATATGTAAGCTCCAAGAATCGTGAAAGTAACCTTATTCTTCTTCACAGTAAGGCACACATATTGATTCTCTTCATAAAGCGAGACTGTGTGGTGAACTAAAGTGAGGTCATGGCGCATGAATACCATAACCTTGCTGCAGTCTCTGTGAGTCGAGGACATAAAGCACTCATATCCTGGCAGTTTGAAGCAGACAGGTTGGGTTCGCAAATCACAATAATGGGAGAACAGTTGACAAATACAAACTCTCTAAAGTCATACATGCGCGACTTAAGACCTCTGGCGTTCCACTGAAAGACAGATGCATTCTTGACTTCCACTAGAAACGACGGTGCCTCGCTGGCCGTGGTTTTATCCTAAAACTGCAAGCACCAGACTCAGGGTGTCCACCTGTCCAGCACATGCAGTGCGGTCTGCGCAGACGGAATCTTCATATTGCTCAGTAGGACACGCATGGCACTCATCAGCGATTGCAGCGAGCTTATCACTTGTTGATCTTCATTCGTCGCGTCACTTGTTTGAGAGGTCGTCGAGAGCGGTGAAATTTGATGCGACTCAGAAGTAAATCAACCTCGTGAAAGTGAGGGCCACTGTTCGGAAGGTGGCACTGCTGTCCCTGTCTTCTGTTTCACAGTATTCGTCTTCATTGAGTTTCGTGTTTGTGGGTCAACCACTTTGATAGAGGATGGCATCTCTCTATCGGTAGAGCAGTCCTGTCGTGGTCTTCTGCCTCGGTGCCGTCGTCGGCGAAGTGTAGCGGCAGCTTCCCTGTGCGTTGAATTGTCCCGCACCATACGCTTGAGTATACGCGTGCTCGTTTCGCACCCGCGGGCAATCTTTGGATGATGCTTGATGAGCGCCGTGGCAGTTTGGACATCGTAAAACGGTGTTACCGCAGGCGTCTTTTGAAAAAAGATTCAGCGCACCGCGGGCCCACAACTTTGTTCTCACACACACCTTTTACATGTCCTATCTTGAAACACTTGTAGCATTGCAACGGCTTCGGAACGTATGGACGTACTCAGTGGTGAACATGGCCAACATTGACGTACGAGGGTAGTCTGTCTCCCTCGAACACAAGCTTCAAGCAGCGTGAGTTGCCAAGTCTGGTGATGTGCGTGATGTGAGTGCCATCTGAAGCTGGCTTTATTAATATTTGCAGGTCATTTGCTGGGATAGAAAAATCCATATCATACATGACGCCAACAGTGCCATTACAACCTGTAGCGACCATTGGCCGAACTTTCACGTTGCCGATTTCTGTTATGTGCCGAAGGCTTTGCAGCGCGTTGCAGTGCAGAACGTCTACGGCAAAGACATTCTTCCGTGCATTGATCCCCACGTCTTT